ATGGGGGGGTGGAAGAGGGGTGGCCCACATCTTTAATCCCAGCATTTAGAGTTCCAGGATATCCAAGGCTACACCGAGAAACCGTGTCTCAAAAAACAACAGAAAAGCAAAAAACGAAGAAAAAGAAAAATGGCCAGTCTTTGGGCACCTGAGAGCTGGAATGGAAGCAGGTGCTTTCCACACTAGCGTGACAGGGAGTGATGGGCTTACAACAGCAGTTTCTATTAGCAATGAAACAATTCAGCAGATTTTATATCATTTATTTTTATTATTTTTTGGTGCTGAGAATTGAACTCAGGTTATCATGCCTGGCCTAGAATTGTGTGTGTGTGTGTGTGTGTGTGTGTGTGTGTGTGTGTGCACGCACGTGTACAGGCACATGCATGAAGGTCAGAAAAGTCATCTGATCTCTCAGAGCTGGAGTTAGAGACATTCACAGAATGCCCAGTTTGTGTTGTGGGTGCTGGGCCCCATGTTCTGGTCCCTGTAATTGCATAGCTGACCCATCTCTCCAACTCTGTGATTTAGTGTTTAATATACTTAGTTTCAGCTGCCTTTGAGCCTTCCTAGCAGGGTGTCTTGGTTAGGACTTCTATTGCTTTGCTAAACACCACCACCAAAAGCATCTTGAGGAGAAAGGGCTTATTTCAGTTATGGTTCCATATCACAGTGCATCATCAAAGTGAAGGCAGGAACCTAAGCAGAAGTCGATGGAAGGACACTGCTTCCTGGCTCTCCCTCCCTCCCTCCCTCCCTCCCTCCCTTCCTCCCTTTCTCCCTCTCCTTCTCTCTCCCTCTTCTCCCCCCTACCTCTCTCTTTTTTTTTTCCAGACAGATTTTCTCTGTGTAGCCCTAGCAGTCCTGGAACTAGCTCTGTAGACCAGGCTGGCCTCAAACTCACAGAGATCTGCCTGCCTCTGCTTTCTGTGTGCTGGGATTAGAGATTTTTCTCTTCAAATTGGACATTTTGTATTTCTTTTTGCCCACTTGCTCTTTTTCATTGCAGGCCTGTTTAAGAGTGGTTACTAATAACCACATGACAGAATCAGTAATAGTCTTGAAGTCTTCTCTGCTGAAGAAATTAGTCTATTATGTTTAGACTTAGCTTCAGGCAAGTTCCTAGAATGAAGGCAGAAAGCAGATTTTACCAAATTACCACAGGACTCTCTCTAGCTCAGTTGCTAATATTGTTTCTCCCTGAAACCTCTTGAGCTGGGCTTCCACAATCCACATAGCTTCCAGCACTACTGTCTTCTAAGCTTCAACTAGGATGGCGCACTAAGCTCTGCTTACAGCACTTATCCACCTTACTAGTCCAATGGCCCCAAATCTTCCACATTGCTTCAAAGATATGGTCAGGTCCATCACAGCAATATCCCATGAACATGATACCAATTTCTGTCTTGGCTACTTTTCTATTGCTGTTATAAAATACCATGACCCAGGCAACTTATAAAAGCTTTAATTAGGCTTACAGGTCCAGAGGGTTAGAGTCCATGATGGTGGCACAAAGGCATTGGGGCAGGAACAGCTGAGATCGAACATCTCAAACTGAAAGCAAGAGGCAGAGAGCACACTGGGGATGTTGGGAGACTTTTGAAGTCTCAAAGCCTGCCTCTATGACACACCACCTCCAGCAGGGCCACCTAATCCTTCCCAAACAGTTCCACCAACTGGGGACTAAGAATTCAAACACTAGAGCTTTTGGGAGCTTTTCTTACTCAAGCCTCCACACAGGGTTAAAGCAGTGGGGCAAGCCAGGGAAAAACATTTTGTTTCACTATTTTTTCTGAGACAGTGTCTCTCACTGCCTCACCCTGACTCACCTGGAATTAGCTATGTAGCCTAGGCTAGCTTCAGACTCATAGATGTCAGAGTGCTGGGACTGAAGACATGTGCCACCAAATTGTGCTGAGATAAACATTTTGAAGCCACTTGAAAATGGATGATATCTGTTTGATGATGGATGAAGTTTTCTGGCAGGGACCCAGAACCAAGTCCTGGAAAGCTCCTATTTGATGTCAGAGAGAGGAAGAGGAAGTGATGGACAAACAGAAATCAGTAACACAGATTGGGAGCAAGGCAAAGTGGCCCCCAACTGTAGTCCCAGCTACTAGGAAGGTAGAGTTCCAAGGCTGGTCAGGGCAACATAGACAACATCTCAGAGGGAGGAGGTGGGAGAGGAGGAGGAGGTGGGGGGAGGAGGAGAAGGAAGAGGAGAAGGAGGAGGAAGAGGAAGAGGAGGAGGAGGAGGAAAAAGAAGAAGAAGAAGAAGAAGAAGAAGAAGAAGAAGAAGAAGAAGAAGAAACAATCTAGAAGTCTTGAAGAGATGCATTCCATAAACCCAAAGATAAAGCTGTTTTCAGGAATGAGTGCTATAATCCATGAGTGTCTAGGTCTTGGAGGTGAAGATAGGGCCTTAGCTGAAGCATCTACTCCCTTATAGCCAGCCCTTTCCTGTTTTAGCTAGCTCCTGATGAGTTTTTCCACTCTGGGTGCTCTGCCCCCTGCTGGCCATCCTGGGTACTTGCCTTTCCTGTTAATGGGGGTTGCTCCTCCATGGGACGTAGAATCAGGGTTTGGAGGATGGGAGAGCAGGGAGTTACAGTGACATGGGTACAGAGTTTCTCTGGACAAGACTAAGAGCCTCTAGAAGTGGATAGGGGTAACTGACAGCTGCACAATAAGATGAGTACTCTTAACGCTACCCCCAGGTCACTCTGAGAGCGTCTCTGGGGACACTAAACACCCTTGCTGACGTCCCAGACAATGTGGTGCAGGGCAGAGGCCAAAAGCAGCTGACCATTTCCACCAGCGACAAGAAGCTCCTGGGATTCATCCTGCAGTACGTGACATACACCAGCACGGAGTACCAGCTCCACAAGGTGGACATGGGTGAGAGTCTGTCTTCTAATTGCAAAACACTGAGGGGGCTGGCACACACCACCAATTCCTCTTAGAATCTTCCTCCTCCAGGAAGCCAGCAGGCTCCAGAGATTCTTCCCGTGTGCCAGATTCTAAGCCTAGACACTTATCTTCCTGTTTATGGAACCCAAGAGTGTCCCCCTGTTGCCACTGACCCCATGGAGTGTCTTGAGAATGATCACTGACGTGGCTTGACTCGCACACGGCAGACACCAAGTCAGCGTTCCGTCACTGTAGCTGATACCTGAGATAACATAGAGAAGGAAGCCGGGCGTTGGTGGCACACGCGCATGCCTTTAATCCCAGCACTTGGGAGGCAGAGGCAGGCAGATCTCTGTGAGTTCGAGACCAACCTGGTCTAGCTATTCCAGGACAGGCTCCAAAGCCACAGGGAAACCCTGTCTCCAAAAACCAAAAACCAAAACAAAACAAAAAACATAGAAAAGGAAAGGGTTCCTTTGGCTCACAGGTTTGGAGGCTCCGGTTCATGGTGAGCTGGCCCTTTTGCTCTCTGCTGGTGGTGAGGCAGCATAGCATGGTGGGGCTGTGTGATAACTAAGAGTCCCTCGCTAGGAAGCAAACAGGAACAGAAGAGATGGGAAGTAGACCTTGCAGTAACTTAAAGGCATGCATGCCCATCCCCCGCTGTCACCACAGTGGTCTGTACCTATGCTATGTGAACTTGTACCCCTCCTGTTTCCACCTCCTGTATGCTGGGATGATTGGCATGTACCTCCAAGTAAGGTTCATGCAATGCTGGGGATCAAAACCAGGAGGACTTCCTGTGTGGTACACAAACACTCTACCAACTGAGTTACATCCCTAGTCTTGTTGTTTCTTTTTTTTTTAAATTTATTTATTTATTATTATGTGTACAGTATTCTGTCTGCATGTGTCCCTGCAGGCCAGAAGAAGGTGCCAGATCTCACTACGGATGGTTGTGAGCTATCATGTGGGTGCTGGGAATTGAACTCAGGACCTCTGGAAGACCAGCTAGTGTTGTTAACCTCCTAGCTGTCTCTCTAGCCCCCCTTGTTGTTTCTTGAGACAGGCTCTCATGTAGCCAGGGATATCCCAAACTCTCTTATGTAGTTGTGACTGACTGGTCTTGAACTCCAGGTCTTCCTGCCCTCATTTTCCAAGTTTTGTGATTGCTGGTGTGTACCACCACACTACTAGGCTTATTTTTTGTTTATTTGTATGTCTGTTCATTAGATGAGGCAGGATCTTGTTGCATATCCTAGGCTAGCCTCAAATTCTCAACTCCTATGCCTCAGCCTCCATAATGCTGGGTGGGTGGGATTACAGGTATACATCACTGTGCCTGGCTAACCTTATCTAGTTCCGTTAGCCTTTATCTGCAACTTTTTTGTTTGTTTGTTTTTGTTTTTCGAGACAGGGTTTCTCTGTGGCTTTGGAGGCTGTCCTGGAACTAGCTCTTGTAGACCAGGCTGGTCTTACTCACAGAGATCCGCCTGCCTCTGCCTCTGCCTCCCCAGCGCTGGGATTAAAGGCGTGAGCCACCACCACCCAGCTATTTGCAACTTTTATATTCACTTATTTAATTAAATTCCATCCATTTGTTTATTGGGGGGCATGGACATACCCACGGGGGCACATGGAAGTCAGAGGACACCTTGTAGGAGTTGGTTCTCTGCTACTGTGTGAGTCCCAGGGCTCAAACTCAGGTCACCGGATTTGGCAGCCAGCACCTTTACCTGCTGATCCGTTTTGATGACTCCTCTGCAGCTTCTACAGCTGCCTCAGCTTCTGTTGAGAAGGCAACCAGCCCAACCAGCCTGGGCATCAGTATCTTGTCCTGAGCACTCATGGAAAGAGAGAATGTACCCAGTTCCCCGTCTCTCTCCACACCCCTCCCCCCATTACAGAAACTCCTGGGAGAAAAATCTTGCGACCTTTAAGACAGCCTCCTTTTTTTGTTTGTTTTGTTTTGTTTTGTTTTTAGTAGCTGGCATAGCACGGTAATGGGGGAAATGCAGTATGAACAGACAACAGTTTAGCTTAGTTATTAGAGGCCTTTGCTAGCATGCACAGAGCCCTGGGTTTGATCCGCAGCACCACCTAAAACTGGGTATTGGGGTGCTATGCCTAAAACCCAAGCACTTGGGAGGTGGAACCAGGAGGATTAGATGTTCCAGGTTATTCTCCATAGCTATTGTGCACATCCTCCTACCTTCAGATTTTAAAGCATTCCCTTCAGAAAATGACCCTGTGTGATAAGGTGTAGTGGATATTACTGTTCTGGTTTTGTCATTAGAGAAGCTGATGGAGGGACCCATTTCAGACAGGTCATGGCAGAGTCAATCTTAATCCAGATCCTTGAGTCTCCAGCCTGTCCCAGCAGCATGTCCCTACAGCAGGTTGCCCCAGGAATGCACAGGCAGGAGCCAGGATGCCCAGCCTGCAGCATGGATCCTCAGTCTCCTCCCATTCAGGACTCTCCCTGCAGCTGCTGGCCTTGAAGCAGAGCGGAGCGTTTCTCAGGGCAGCAGAATCTTTACAGATCTCACACTGCCTGGGCTCTTACCTTTCTTTACCTTCCAGTGAGTCTGGAGTCCAAGTCCTCAGTGGCCAAGTTTCCAGTGACCATCAACCAACCTGTTGTACCCAAGTTGTATGACCCTGGACCTGGTAAGGCTCTTGTCTTTGGGGCTTAAGGATTGCATCAGGCTGGGTGAAGTTCAAAGGGTGTGGCTTTTTGAATGAGCGCTTGGTCCGAAATTGGTGGAACTATTTTGGGAAGGGTTAGAGGCGTGGCCTTGTTGGGGGAGGTGTGTCGCTGGGAGTGGGTTTTGAGCCTTCAAAAGTCCATGCCAGACCCAGTCTCTGCTTCTTTCTGCCTCCACTTGTGAATAACATGTACGCTCTCAGCTACTTCTTGGTGCCATGCCTGACTGCTTGTTGTCTTGCTCCCAGTCATGATGGTCATTGTCTTAGTTAGGGTTTCTATTGCTGTAAAGAGACACAGCTAAAAGTTAAATTGGGTGGCTTACAGTTCAGAGGTTCAGTCCGTTCTCATCATGGTGGGGCGTGGCAGTGCAGGCAGACTTTGTGATGGAGAGATAGTTAGGAGATCTACATCTTACACAGGCACCAGGAAGTGAACTGAGATACTGGGTGTGGCTTGAGCATATATGAGACCTCAAAGCCCACCTCCACAGTGACACACTTCCTCCAACAAGGACATACCTACTCCAACAAAGCCACGCCTCCCAATAGTGTCACTCCCTGTAAGCTTATGGGGCAATTACATTCAAACTACCACAGCCATGGACTTACCTGCTGAAAATGTAAGCAAGCCCCCAATTAAATGATTTATGTATAAGCTGCCCTGGTCATGGTGTCTCTTCACAACAATAGAAAAGTAACTAAAACAGAAGGATCACTCTTTCCTTACAATTCATTTTAATTATTTTTTAAAGACTTTATTTATTTATTATGTATACAACATTCTGCTTCCATGTATTTCTGCACACCAGAAGAGGGCACCAGATCTCATAACGGATGGTTGTGAGCCACCATGTTGTTGCTGGGAATTGAACTCAGGACCCTTGGAAGAACAGTCGGTGCTCTTAACCTCTGAGCCATCTCTCCAGCCCCCATTTTAATTATTTTTAATTGACACCACACTTGTGTATGGATGCCCACAAAGGCCAGAGGTTGGATGTCTTGAGAGCTGGGTGTGTAGGTGGCTGTGAGCCACCTGACATAAGTGCTGGGAACCAAACTCTGGTCCTTGGCAAGAGCAGTGTGTGCTCTTAACTGCTAAGATATCTCTCCAGTCGCCTCAGCCCTTTCTCAAGACAAGGTCCCGGGTGCCCCAGGGTGAGCTCAAACTATGTGTATAGTTGAGAATGAGAGTGTTTTTGAACTTCTGAGCTTCCTGCCTCATTTCCCCAAGTGCTGGAATTTTATGCACACACCACCATGCTCAGTTACTAGGGATCAAACCTAGAATTTTGGGGGTATTAGGCAGGCATGCTACCAACAGAGTCATTTCCATCCCTTTCTTTCATATTTATCCCAGGCTAACCTGGTAATCCTCTGAACTCAGCCTTGTGAGTGGTGGATTACAGACAATTACTGATGTGTGTGTATATGTATGTGAGTGTGTGTGTATGTGTGAGTCTATGTGTGTGTGTGTATGTGTATGCGTGTGTGTATGCAAGTGTGTGTGTGTATGTGTGAGTGTGTTTATGCGTGTATGTGTGAGTGTGTTTATGCGTGTATGTGTGTATGTATGTATTCATGTGTGTGTGTGTGTGTGTGTGTGTGTGTGTGTGTGTGTACATGAACATGTGCATGCATGTGCACCCATGCCAGACTGGGACTATGAAATTCAGAGGACAATCTCAGGTATTGTCCTGGCCCTCAACCTTCCACAGATTATCCTGTCTCCACCTCCTATCTCACCTTGGGAGCCCTGGAATTACAGCGATGGTTATTGAGCCTAGCTTTACATGAATTCTGGGGATTTGAACTCACAAATTCACCTTTGCGCAACATGTGTTTTATCCACCGAGCCATCATCCCAGCTTCAAGTGATTTTTTTTTTAATGTTGAGACTATAAATATTCATTCTTTTAGTGATCTTGCTTTTTATTTTGTGAGATTGGGTATTGTTACATAGTCTAGGTTGGTCTTGACTTCATCATCCTCCAGCCTCTGCCTGCCAAGTGCTGGGATTGCAGGTGTGAGTCAGAATTCCTAGTTCTTGGCTTCTCCTCCCCCCCTCTTTTTATCCCTCTCTCCCTCTCCCTGTCTCTCTTCTTCCCTCCCTTGCTCTCAAAATGAAGGAAAGATTTGTCTAATGGTTTTAAAGGTCATTTTCCTCGTTGCAGTTTAAGGGAAAAGGGGTTCATTTGGCTCATGGTTTGAGGGTTCAGTCTGTCACAGCAAGGAAGTAAGTGTAGAAATGTGAGGCCGTTTTTCACACTGTGCCTGTACTGGGGAAGCAGAAAGGAGTAAGCGTCAGTGTTCTGCTTGCTTTCTTCACATCTCTTATGCTGTCCAGGGTCACAGCCTATGGAACAGTGATACTCAGGGCTGGCTTTCCTACCTATGGCAGTTAAACTTGTCTGGAAAAACCTACACGATTTCAAAGCTGTCAATTTGACAGTCACACTGCTATCCCAGAAGGGGTCCTGGCAGTGGAGCGTGCCACAGTTTGCCTCATGGTGAGGGGTGTGTGTGTGTGTGTGTGTGTGTGTGTAGGGAATGAATCTCAGCCCATTTCTCAGTGCCTTTTAAACCCTGCACCCTCCTTTAGACTAAAACGATTAGAATCACCTCTTCCCAATATTTACAATTGCTTTCTTTTTCTTGCTGTGCTGGTTTGAGTGAGAATGGCCTCCATAGGCTCATATAGTTGACCGTTTGGTCCCTAGTTGATGGAACTGTTTAGGAAGGATTAAGAAATGTGTCATTGGGTGTGGGCTTTGAGTGTGCAAAAGCCCATGCCAGGCCCACTCTCAGAGGTTAGTCGGGGTTTCTCTCTCTCTCTGACTGCAACTGTGGGTCAGGATGTAAGTTCTCAGATATTGCTCCTTTGCCATGTCTGCCTACCTGCTGACATGCTTCCAGGCATGATGGTCATGAACTAACCCTCTGAAACTGTAAGCGAGCCCCCAAATCAAATGCTTTCATGTATGAGTTGCCTTGGTCCTGGTGTCTCTTTGCAGCAATAGAGTAGTAACTGAGATACCTGTCGTGTCATAGTTGGCTACAGTCTCTACCATGTTGTTGAATAATAGCAGGCAGTTTTGTTTGCTCCTGACTTTAAGAACATTCTAGCACTATGCCATGCATGCTTCCGTGTGAAATGTGTTTCAGGGAAAGAATTCTCCCTTCTTCCTTCTATTTCCAATGGTTGGTTAGTTTGTCAGTTTGGCTTTGGTTTTTCTGAGACAGGGTTTCTCTGTGTAGCATTAGCTGTCCAGGAACTCTCTCTGTAGACCAGGCTGGCCTTGAACTCACAGAGATCCACCTGCCCCTGCCCCGAGTGCTGGGATTAAAGGCGTGCCCCACCACTGCCCAGTGCATTTCCATTGTTATTTACCTCTCTGCTTTCAGTTTTCTACTTATCCACTAAGAATTTTTGCTACGAATGATGTTTGAATCTTTTTTCCCCCTGAGACAGGGTTTCTCTTTGAAGCCCTGGCTGTCCTGGAACTAGCTCTGTAGACCGGGCTGGCTTCAAACTCAGAGAGCGACTTGCTTCTGCCTCCTGATTAAAGGCACACACCACCACTACCTAGAGAATCTTTGTTTAAAAATGTATTTAACTTTGTGTGTGTGTTTGCTTACATATATGTATGTGCACCATGTGCTCAGTTAGTGCCCATGGGGGCTAGAAGAGCATGGAACTGCAGTTAAAGGTGGTTGTGAGCCACCAGGTAGGTGCTCTGAACTGAACCTAAGTCCTCTGCAAGAGCAGCTGGCACTCACTGCTCCAGCTGTTTGTATCTTTTCCATGGAAAAGTTGATCCTTTTCTCTTTTCCAAGCTTTTTGTTTTTGTCCTTTCTCCATTTTTATGTGGCTGTGTGTTGTACTCGTTGTGTGCACATGTTTCCATGTGTGTCAGCACAGGTGTGTAGGTGGCTCACATGAGCGTGTGTACATGAGCATGATGTGCACATGGGGACCCAGGGTGAATGTTTGGAGTCATCCTCCACGGAAACAAGGTCTCTCAGTCAAAGCCAGAGCGTGACAATACTTCCACTCTCTCCCTGGCCAGCTTACTCTGGGATCCCCTGAATCCATTTTCTGAGGCTGGAATTACAGGCGACATGCCGCACTCTCCCAGCATTTATGTGGGTTCTGCAGATGTGAATTGGGGGACTTGACATTTGAGTGGCTGAGCATCTCTCCTGCGTCTCTGAGTCCAGTGGCCTTTTATTTGTTTATTTTTATGAGTCACATGCTTTAAGGTGAACAACCTGGTCCAGGTCCTCTGGTTTTCATGTGGACTTCTTTCTAACTGTGCTTCCCTGATAGAGGCCAAGGGGGTTTCTCCTAGGAAGCTCTTCCTAGAACTGATGGCAAGGGTAGGTCTCAAGTCCTTTAGACCTCTTCTTCTCTTCCTGGGGTCTGAATCTTTTGTCTGGAACCCCTTATGGGACTTCTATTATTAAGATGTAAGCAGGACACAGGGGGTTGCCAACAGACGAGCAGGAAATGAAGAATCCAGAGATCAGGAAACTGGTAGGGCAAAGCCAACCAGGGATGAAGAGATTTCACCTAGTTGGGTAACCTTATAATGTTGAGGGATATTTGAACACACAGGGTGAAGAGGCTCTGCTGTTGTACCTCACCTCTAGAAGACACCTGATTGGTTTAATAAAGAGCTGAATGACCAATAGCTAGGCAGGAGAAGATAGGTGGGACTTGTTGGGAGAGAAGGGAAGTTGGCAGAAGAATCTGAATGGCTGAAGGAAGTTGGGCATCCAGCACTGAGGAGAGGGAACAGGCCACAGGGCAGAACGATCACTAACAGAAACTGGTTAATTTAAGTTATAGGAGCTAGTTGGGAAAAGCCTCAGCTAAGGACAAGCTTTTATGATTAACAAAAAGTCTCCATGTCATTATTTGGGAGCTGGCAGTCCAAAGAAAGACTGCCATTATACATATAACGTCTTTGTTTCCCAGTGCAGCTGACAAATTCTCCCCAACGCTGACAGGTCAGAGGAGAAAGAAGCCATCAGATGACGGGAGTGTAGCTCAGTTGTTGAATGTTTGCTTAGCATGCATGAGCCCCAAGATTCAATCCCTGGCCTGGCAGAAAACAAAACAAAGCAAATCCATCTGAACAGAGCAAATCCAGAGTGGGGTTCCAGCATGCACTTTTCAATTTTTCTCTAGAGAGGAAGCTCAGGAACCTGGTGACCATTGCCACCAAGACATTCCTCCGCCCCCACAAGCTTAAGATACTGCTGCAGAGTATTCGAAAATATTACCCAGACTTGACCGTGATTGTGGCCGATGACAGCAAGGAGCCCCTGGAAATTAAAGATGACTACATGGAGTATTACCTCATGCCCTTTGGGAAGGTATATCCCCCTCAGACTGGGGACATCTAGCTCCCAGAACAGGAGGACCCCAGATTCAGCTGCTTTCATGGTCTTCTCTATGAACTGGAGTCCTGTGCAAAGAGGGACCAGAGCTTCTCTTGTTCAGATGCAGAGGGAAATTGGACCAATATTACTTTTCCACATTAATGAAATATTAGTTTGTTCCATCTTCATTCCTCTTTGGTGTGGAAATTGACAGGGGTTCTTTAGGTAACTTACAGGAGCTGGCATCTGATTGTGGTGTATAGGGGTAACAGCAGACCTTTGTTCCCTGTGATTGTGCCCAAGCTAGGCTTCCCCTCTTTGCCTGCTTCCTCTCCTCCTTCTTTCCCTCCCATCTTCCCCCAAGGATAGAAGAGGGAAGGATATCGTTGATAGCAGATGTTCCCCAAACCCACATCTCCCAGGAAGTAGAAGGAAACTGAGATGAAAAAGAACTCCAGTCTATTCCCAGAGGCCACTGGGACTTCCTACCCTTTGTCTCCGTCTCTGAATCCAGAAAGTCACTGGACTCTTTTGAGCCAGCAGTTGTCAGCCTTGCCTGAACTGTGGAATCCCCACAGATTCCAACTTTACCCATGGTGGGAGGCAGCCTGACCATTGGGAATTCAGGAAGCCCTATCCCAGATGACAACTGCTGATCCAACCCCATGCCACCTGCAGGGCTGGTTTGCTGGTAGGAACCTAGCCATCTCACAGGTGACCACTAAATATGTCCTCTGGGTGGATGATGACTTTTTCTTCGACAACAACACCAAGATTGAGGTGCTGGTGGATGTCCTGGAAAAAACTGAACTGGATGTGGTAAGAGACACTGGCGGAGCTCAGCTGGCCGCAATCTGCAGTAGGGAAGAGGGACGGAGAAAGAATAGGAATGCCAATGTCTGGGGGAGAAGAGGGAAGGATGAGGCAGGAGAGGGGCTTGCAGTAGGGGCGAGGGCGCGTGAGTTCTGCTTTTGACTCCTCGATTGCTTTCTTTGAGCAATTTTGTACCATACACTAAAAAGTTCACAATTGTTCTGTTTTTAAAGCAGCAGTTTAAAGCAGCAGTGATCCCCCAGCACCAGTTTTTAAAGTATTTATACATCATTTCTAATTCTTTTCTTGGGACTGCATGAGGTTTAAGAGAACTGTGCTCTTGTTCGGTCACAACATTTTAAAAAATTCTCTTTTAGGTTGATTTATTTTTATTTTATGTGTAGAGTTGTTTTGCCTGCATCTATATCTGTGCACCATGAGTGTGCCTGGTACCCACAGAGGCCAGAAGAAGATGTTGGATCCCCTGGAACTGGAGTTATGGATGGGTGTGAGCTGCTATGTGGGTGCTAGACTCAGGTCCTCTGCAAGGACAAGTGCTCCTAACCTCTGATCCACCTCTCTCCACCTCCCACAACATCTGTTTTAAATATAAAAACACAATTGGGGGCACACACCCTTATTCCCAGCACTGTGGAGGCAGAGGCAGGACGATCTCTATGAATTCAAGGCCAGCCTGGTCTACAGAGGAAGACCCTGTCTCAAAGACAACAACAGCAACAAACCCTAAATATATATATATATATATATATATATATATATATATATATATATAGGCTGTGTGTGGTAGCGCATGCCTGTGATCCCAGCACATGGGAGGTGGAAGCAGGATGATGGGAGTTCCAGGCCAGCCTCAACTACAAAGCAAGTGTGTGTGTGTGTGTGTGTGTGTGTGTGTGTGTGCCTGCATGTGGAGATAGGTATTCAGTGATCCCCCAGCACCAGCTACATGGCAGAGCCACTGAGAGTCCTTTGGAGGCTAGAGTCATAGAGAACACCTTTTTTTTTTTTTTTTTTTTTTGAGACAGGGTTTTTCTGTAGATTTAGAGCCTGTCCTGGAACTTGCTCCATAGACCAGACTGGCCTCAAACTCACTGACATCCACCTGCCTCTACCTCTCAAGTGCTGGGATTAAACCGGCTCCATAGAGTATAACTTCTCTCCTACTGGAGGATGTCCAGAGAGGCTTCCTAAAAGGGTGATTTCTGACCCTGCTCAGACCGAGGTTTCTGTTTGCTGACTAGGTGGGCGGCAGTGTGCAGGGAAATGCGTTCCAGTTCAGACTGTTATTGGAACAGAGTGAGAACGGGGACTGTCTTCACCAGAGGTGGGGAGGGTTCCAGGCCCTCGATGGCTTCCCCAGATGCGTGGTGACCAGCGGTGTTGTAAACTTCTTCTTGGCTCACACAGATCAACTCCGAAGAGTTGGTTTTGATCCCCGCCTGCAACGCGTGGCTCATTCAGGTGGGAGGCTTGGAGGGGTGATGCAGGGAGTGGGGAGGGGGTCCTCCTGCCGCTCCCACTCCAGAGCCCACACTTAATGGAACTCAATGGTGCCTCTGTCCACACTCCTGAGAAAGGAGGTCATCTGTTTCTTCCCTTCCAACTCCAGCACCCGCTAGAGTTGGGGAGCTTTCCTGTGGTTAGGAACCAGGAGCTCTCTCCTCAAGTGTGGGCGGGAAGCCTGGCTGGCTGCAGCTCTGTCTCCTATTTATCCTCTCTTTGCAGAGTTCTTTGTTGATGGGCTGGGGAGCCTGTTGGTGGGCTCCTGCCCAGATGTCAGTGTACAGCACCAATCACATGCGCCGTGGAGTAAGGATGCAGAGGTGGCTGCCATGGAGAAGTCTTATAACACATACCGCGTCAACACCAATGCTCAGGTCCAATTCAAGCTCGCTCTCCACTACTTCAAGAACCATCTCCAGTGCTCCACTTAAAGGTGCGAGGAACAGGAAACTCAATAACCAAAACAGACTGGCTTGGGCAACGAAAATAGTAGGACTGGTATCCATTAGGGATACCAAAGAAAGACTCCTAACAAGAGGAGCAGGGAGCAAACCAGCTGGTAGCTGGATCGAGGAGATAGGAATAGCTCAGTCACTGAGCTATTCCATTCAGAGACGTTAGAAATGGGCCAATTCCTGATCAGGGCAGTGGAGACGACATAGCGGTTATTAAACACGGGGTGCCCCTCCCACTTATAAAGCATCTGCACAGAGAACAACTCAGTCCACTCATCTGAGCTGAGATGCTGATTGGGACCCTCCATCCAGAGAATGGCTGCTGGAGGCATCGGGATGCTCAGTGGGTAAAGCACTTGCTGCCAAGCCTGAGTTTGATTCCTTAAGCCCCCCATGATAGAAGGGGAGCAGTGACTCTGATATAACTGTCCTCTGACCTCCATGGGTGTGTGCCCCCCTTCCCACACACCATAAATAAATGCAAAAATAAAAGTAGATAATGGCATACACCTTTAATGACCACTCAGGAAGCAGAGGCAGGCAGATCTCTCTCTCTCTGGGAGTTCAAAGCCAGCCTGGTCTACATCATGAGTTCCAGGACAGCCAGGGCTACACAGAGAGAACCTGTTTCAAAAACACACTCCAAGATGAAATGATGTGATCAGAAACTTCTAGCATCACCATGGTCCATACATTTTTGTTTGGTTCTGTTGTGTAGAGTCAATTCACATGCATAGCCAGTGTCCTTGCCTAGAGGAGTTGCAGCCTGGTTCAGACTGGTAGTCAGGGCTACTGGCAGCTGACCGCAGTACTGCAGCTGCGGGGGGTGGGGATGGGGGGGGAGGTAGGGGAGCAATGAGTGCACAGCAGGGCACAATGGAACTTCTTTACTCACTGTGTGGATACTGAATGCTATCTAGGCAACATTAAAAGAATATTGACCTGACCGTGGTCCTATCACGGGTCTGTGATGAAGTCTGTGACCTGTGGTGCCAATCTAAGTGGCCTGCAATGCCACCAGGGGCCATGGTGATATCTGGACCCAGGCTGCTACTGAGGATGATAGCTGAGTCTGTGGTCCTACCCCAGCCGGGGTCTATGCTGATATCTGTGGCCCCTGGGAACACCAATGGCCATACAGATGCTTGGGGTCTAGGCTGCAACCTGTGGCCATGTTGGTTTCTGAAGACCATGCTGATCTGGGTGGCCTGCAATGCCAAACGGGGCCATGGTGTTGTCTGCCTAAGACCATGTCTGGGTTCATGGCCCAGCAGCAGCCAGGGTCTGAGGGCAGTGTGGATGCTTGGGGTCTGGACAGCTACCTGAGACCATGTCTATGTCTGAGGGTCATATGATCTGGATGGCCTGTCCTGCCTGCCACAGGGGCATGGTGACATCTGGAACCAAGCTGCTCCCAAGGGCCATGTCTGGGTTTGTGAACCTGCTGTAGCTAGAGTCTGTGATGATGTCCATAGCTTGTGTTGCCACAGGGAGTCATAAGAACCATGTATGCTGAAACTGAGGGCCAGGTTGATTTGGGAAAGCTGGCCCTGCCCCTCATGGGAGACCCCTCTCAGGAGAGATGGCTCTACCCCTTACCATGTGTGTGGGAGAGCAATGGCATGGGTCTAGGAAAGCTGGCTCTGCCCCTTGCTTGAGCGGGGTGGTCCCAGCGGCCCAGACAGACCAGCTCAGCTATTGGGTTGACCCACCCTACCATCTACCCCATCTTAGACTTGCTGGAATTCATGAAGTGACTGGTCCTGCGGATCTCCATGACTTCGGTCAACAGCAGGATATCTAAGAGGAGTTTCAGTGAGGGTCCAGTGACGACGATGTGCCAGAGGCCTTGAATCAGACCAATGACTCATTGCAATGAACATTTTGTGGGTGAGGCTGATTGGACAAAAGGGTATACTACATGGCACACTGCAGCTCCCAGTACAACTAGGATGAATTAAGTGTTGGAAAGATGGAGGAACAAGATGGGTTTTTGTTTTCGTAGTTTTGTTTTTAATTGATTTTTGGGGGGTTTCTGTTGGGAATGTTGCACAGGTGAGGGGAAGATATGGAGGGTCTGGGAGGTAAGAGGGATGGGGTGCACAGGTATGGGATTCCTAAACATCTAATAAAGAATTATGTTATATCCTGTGGACCAATAATTATGTTATAATTATGTTATATATATGTAACACTCTGACCTGAACAATTCTTTAGCAAATCAACTGTAAACAAAGGTAGACAGTGTACGCTTGCACTGCCTCCAAGCATAACTGAAACTTAACTTGAGCCATTTCTGGTACATTCCTGTCAGATGGCAACAAAATTTAGTTTCAGCAAATCATAAGCAGCTAGCTAGCATGACAGTGGAATCATTCCACAAACAAATAAGCTTTATACTGTCATTGTGCCCCAGCCATCAGTTTCATAATGCTAACATTGCAATCATCTAATTTTTCAAAAAGTTGAGTTAAAATAGTTATTCAAAGCCAGATGTTATGGTGCACAGTTGTAATCCCAGAACTCAAGAAGTGGAGTAAGAGGATTAAGGCCAGCCTGGGCTATGTGAAAGTCTGCCTTTAAGTGAGTGAATAGGGGGCTGGAGAGATATCTCAGTGCTTAAGAGTGATGGCTACTCTTGCAGGGCACTGAGGTTTGGTTCCCAGTACCCACATGATGAGTCACAACTGTCTGTAGCCCCAGGGGATTGGAAACCTCTTCCAACCTGCAAGGGCTTCTGCATACACGGGGGCACACACACACACTCGGGCACACTTGTGCACACACAAGAAAATAAGTTTAAAATAAATGACTGGATGACTGACTGGATAAATGTTAGCCAAGTAATTCTGATTTTATTTTGTTGGGATGGCCTGGCCTAGAACTCACTTTGTAGATCAGGATGGCCTCATACTCATGGCAAGCCTCCTGCCTCCACCTCTCAGTGCTGCAATATCAGGTGTGAGCCACCGTTTCTGGCTTGATTTTAAGCTTTGAGACCTTGACTTTTAAGTATGCTACTTGTTCATTATAATTTTTATATTTTAATGAATATTAAAATAAATGAAAAACATTATAGAATATTCTAGAATAAAAGTAACTTCTAAACCATGAAAAATAATGCTAATTTTAAATTTCACATTTGCTCCAATTTACCCTTGAGGCAAATTGTGGACACTCTGAATACACTTACACTATGTTTTTTGCTTCCTGAGGTAATTACTGCTCATGGCTGGTCCACAGGATGAAGGGGGCAGGATACAACAGCTGGTTGTGGTGCAGGCCTTTAATCCCAGACTTGAAGTCACAGATCTGCCAGCCAGGGGTATACAGTGAGATCTTTTTCTTTTTCTTTTCTTTCTTTTTTATGTTTTGGTTTTTCGAGACAGGGTTTCTCTGTGTAGCTTTGGAGCCTATCCTGGCACTCACTCTGGAGACCAGGCTGGCCTCGAACTCACAGAGATCCACCTGCCTCTGCCTCCCGAGTGCTGGGATTAAAGGTGTGCGCCACCAACGCCCAGCTGAGATCTTTTTCTTTTTCAAAACAAAATCAAAACCCAAATCAGGGGCTGGGGAAGCAGCCTGGAAGCTAAAGTGCTTGCTATCCAAGCATGAGGATTGGGCTTAGATTCCAGCACTGCACAGCAAGGCGCGGCTGCCAGTCTAACCCCAGGCACACTCACAGCAACTGCAATGGCCTCCATTTTGATGGGCTTATCATCACCATGCTCAAGGACAGTCTCTTTTCTACTTCAAGGTCTAGAACCACTTCTCCAGGAGAGAGAAACAGTCAAGATGGAGCTTTGGTAGAATTTGCTATGATCCAGTAGCCTCTCTTCCTCAGGAACACAGTGTGTTCTAAAGGGGTGTAAATATTCCATTCAACTCAAAGGCTTCAGGAAGTCCCTGAGCTGTATGGACTGCTGCACTCTCCGACAAGCTGAGCTGCCTCAAACAGACATTCTCTAACTGCAGAGCTGCCTGCAAGTTGTACAGGGGGCTCTAGGTTTACGGTTTTTGTGACATGGTGAGCTTTTGTGCTGCAGCTATCTTTTGAGTAATTTTTGCTCATATGGTAACCCCTCACCCACTCTTCCTTAAGGAACCCCAGTAAAACTCATTGGTTTACTACCCTGGACTTGGGTGATATCCTTATTTTGGTTTGTCACTAGTTCCCTAATTGGGGTAAGCAGACATTTGTTCACATCTTCCCAAGGGTAATGTCACATGGCAGTGTGATATTAAGGGTCTCTGAGTACAAAACGGGAACATTTCTTCCTTTAGGTGCCCCTTTGTCCCTAGCAAGTGGTTCAGTGACCCAAGTCTGGTAAGATACCAGCCACATTTAAGATTAGCAAGCCCCAGAGCCTAATCTAAGAATTCCCAGCCATACCAAATGGAGTGAAAGAGTGGGTGAGAAAAACTGAGTCCCAGTCATGGACAAGGGAAGAAGTCCCTTAATGCCACCTGCCACCCGAGGATCCAGGAAAGTGGGTGTTAGTTGAGCTGAGATTGAGCTAAGAAAGGTGGAGGGAATTCGAAGGACAAACCAGAGCAGGGAGAAGTGGGGGTACAAGAGTGGAGTCAGTGTCACCCCTGTAAACACAGAAGGAACTGTCACCTATACCCTGTAGGAATATTATCCTGCCCTACAGCATCTCTTGAGAAACCATGGAGGCTGGTTGTGGTGACAACGCCTTTGATCTCTGATCTACATAGTGAGTTGGGAGGCAGAGGAGCTACACACCCTGGTGAGGGGAGAGAGAACGATTATGCCAATGTGTCCTGTGACCCTGAGTCATGGGACACATGGGGGGGAGCAGGTCTCTCTGTGTAGCTCTAACTGTCCTGGAACTCACAGAGATCATTCTGCCTGTGCCCCCAGAGTGCTGGGATTAAAGATGTGTACCACTGGGCTGGAGAGATGGCTCAGAGGTTAAGAGCACTGTCTGTTCTTCCAGAGGTCCTGAGTTCAATTCCCAGCAACCAGGCAGAACACTGTATACATAATTAATAAAATCTTAAAAAAAAAAAAAAATGAGTTAAGTAAATGGCAGGGCCTGCGCATGCGCGCGCGCACACACACACACACACACACACACACACACACACACACACACACACACACACCACATCCACCAACATAGGGCTCATAGGGCCTTAGTAAGAATGAGATAACCAGGTAAACTGAGGTCTAGAAATGCCTAGTGTTCAGGCTCAACCTTGAAAGAAGGTAACTCTTAACAAGTTCAAGGTAGAATTGGTTAATTTCTCAAAACGGACAACCTTAGTGTTTCTTCTGATAATATGCAGGAGTTACATAAGGGTATTTCTCTGGGAAATAAGGGATAGCCCTGGCTATCCTGAAACTCCCTCAAACTCAAGATATTCACCTGCCTCTGCCTTCCAAGTGCTGGAGTTAAGGTATGTACTACCACCGCCCAGCTACAAAAGTTCTTGTACATTCACTCCCCAGAGACAAACTGTCAAACTGTTGCCAACAGAGATTTTTGGATTTGGGCTAACCATGTTCTTGATGGCAGGCAGGGGTAAAGGAATTCATATATTATACCGAAGAGGACTTATCAGAAGGGTAGTGGATAACTCATAGCACTAGAAGTGGGTGGACAAAACAAGCTCAGGACAGTGGCCAAAAAGCCAGGGGACTGAGCCAACCAGGAATCCAGCAAGGCCCGTTTGCTTGGCTTGTCACTTGAGGAGCCAGTGGACATGGCATGGCTGCCCTACTGCACTGAGTGGCGTGTCATGGACAATACTGGAATTGGATCCTGTTCTAAAATTTCTGGCTTCTGGGCTTCAGTCTCTGGATTCTGAATCCAACTGGCTAAGCTAAAGCCCTGAGCCTGCAGAGTAAGTGCATCTGCCCTGGGGCAGCTAAAGACAGGCAGGCAGGCAGGCAGGCAGGCAGACACACACTCACACACACAGACACACAGACACACAGACACACACACACACACAGAGCCTGGAGAATAAGTGTGTAGCAGCCTGCACCACAACTAAGTTTGAATATGAGAGAATGTCTCTCACCTTTATAGTGGAGCAGCCTTATATACAAACTTACAAAAACCCCAGGTGAAAGGGTTCACAATAGAATATTGATGCTAGTGGGGTACGGTCAGGAAAACAGGAGGTACCGGTGGTTATCTGGAAAACAACACATAGAGACCCCGTGGGGGCTGGGTCCCAACATAAATGCATCTACCTTGGGGCACAGTTCTGGTGTCACTTAGTCTTGCAACAGACTGGATTCCTTAAGAAAGTGAGACATGCCTGTGATGGCTATCCTTAGATGTCAATCTGAATGGATCATAAATGGACTATCCAAAACTGGAGGGCACACCTGTGAGGAATTTTTACTACATTTGAAGATCCACTTCTAATCCAAAACTTGGTGTGTGAAGACACACCTTTAATCACCAACGCTGACCTGGCTACAGTTCCTGATGAGGACCAGATCTGCCGAGAACAGAGACCATCACTGAGCCCCAGATATGGTACCATTTCCCAGGATGATCAATCAGTGACCTGGTGGCAGTTTGGATCATTTCCTCCTTGAAAAGGACAATACTTTGTTCTTACTGGAGTAGATAGTTATTATGGTTATAGATTTGTCTGTCCTGCACATAATGCTTCTGCCAAAACCACCATCCATGAACTTACCAAATGCCTTATTCACTGTCATGGTATTCCATGCAGTACTGCTTCTGATCAAGGAACTCATTTCACAGGCAGCCATTGTTGGATTAGGCAGACTAAGGCCTGTAAATCATTCTATAAATCCCATTTACGTACGTACGTACGTGTGTGTGTGTGTGTGTGTGTGTGTGTGTGTGTGTGTGTACGTACGTGTGTGTGTGTGTGTGTGTGTGTGTGTGTGTGTGTGTGTGTGTGTGTGTGTGTGTGTGTGTTCATTATATAATTTCTATTCATTATGTAAGAACCCTGACTAATACAGCACATAGCAAATAGGTTTCATTAGAGCTCTTCTGTTTGGACATGTATGGCATCTTATATACATTTATTTAGTTCATCTTCTGTCTCAATTGAAGTTTGCTCTGTGTGTGTGTGTAGCCTGTACTGGTTAAAACTGACATTTTAGGCATATTTAAACACAATTTGGTGAAAACTTTCTTGGTGATAAGTCAATCCCATGTACACAATTAACTCAAAACTGTGTGCACAACAAAGCTTAATACACAACTAAATTGAAACTCTTTGTAAAGTACATGTGACATTTTTCTTAAACATAGTTTCTATAGTAGTAAAGGCCTTTAATCCCAGAATTTGGGAGGCTGAGGCAGGCATATCTCTAAGTTCAAGGTCAGCCTGGTCTATAGAGGTTCCCAACAGCCAGGGCTGTTACACAGACAAACCCTGTCTCGAAAAAAACAGAAACCAACCAAACAAAAAACTTGTTTCTATAGATTGATAAAAAACAAACAACAAACAAAAACACTATTTCTATAGATTGATAAAAACAAAACAAAAAACCCACTAATGATAAGGGCGGGGGGAGACGGAGATTGGTGTGGTCTCCCATCCTACAGATAGCACAAAGGTCACCAGGCTGTTAATCACGTTCATTCCCAGCCTTCTAGGAGGAAATAGGTTATATCACAATCACTAAAGAGACAACCCAGTGTGTTTAGCATTGCTGGTTCCTTAGTGCTCTTCTGTGAGCACAAGAATCTCTGTGCTCACAAATTAATAACAAATTAAGTTATTTCTTAAACTCTTGTAGAGCATTGTGTCTTTTGCCAATTCTCACTGCATTGTAATAAACAGTGTATAGTCAAGAGTCTCCTTGAAAGCCTCCTGGTACAGATGGATGTCCAGTAGGATACTGGTGAAATTGCTGAGTCAAATGACTCAGTCAACTGTTGCAAGACTGACCTGCAGAAAACACATGTAGAGTCGGGGAAACCCGAGAGGGCCCAGAGACGTGTCTTTTTGGGGGAGGAGGGGTGTCTGTTAAAGGTCTGACCGGATCTTCTTAGGAAGAAGTTTCGGCGGCCCGGGCTGTAGAAGCGCCCGGGTCATCCCTACAGATGAATTGCACCGCTCCTGAGCGCCGGCGGTCGCAACCAGGCGGGGCGCTGTCTCCAGTTCCCCGGGTCTGCATCCCAGGGGCGTCCGGGTTTGAGCGGCTGCGCCACCATGTGCTAGTCCGCGTCCTCCCCCGCGGGGCCAAAGCGTCCTCGCCACATTCCTCCTAACACAAACACATTAAACAAGTGGAAAACACGGGCTGCGTGAGCCCAACCTCCCGCCCGGTCTGGGGCGCTTTCTTCAGACTCCCCCGGACTTGGAAGCAAGGGCCGGGACCCCTGGAGGAGCACCGGAAGCGGTGACACCTCGGGCCCGGGAACGTTAGGAACTCGTGGGGACGCGGGAATCCTGCTGGTTCCGTGTTTGCCCGCCATGGCGGCCATCAGCCAAGGGGCCCGAGCCGAGGGTAGCGAAGCTTAGGAAGGTTGCCCAACGTCAAGTGGCTTCAGAAAGCTGCCGGGCGCATAAAGCCGCCAGCAGGTCCCATGGTGTAATGGTTAGCACTCTGGACTTTGAATCCAGCGATCCGAGTTCAAATCTCGGTGGGACCTCACTGACCTTTTTTTGGCCTCAGAATCCTTGTTTTGAGGCCTGCAGGAAGTAGCAACCTACCCAAGGCTGGACGGCGGAAGGCACTGACCTGCAGGACGGCCGTTCAGCTTCCCTCCCCGGGTTCAACACGCTTACATTTCAGGAACCGCCGGGGCTGGGTGGCACTGCGCACGCGCGCCGCGTCAGGCGGAAAAATAAACGTGTTGATGGAAGACTGAACCTAACTTTACCCTGAAGGGAAAAACGAAAGAACCCGAAGGCTCTCGACGAGGCTCTGCAGGCGGGGTACGGCCCCTCTCGGCGCGCCTGGAAGGCCCCACCCCGTATTCTCTGATTGGCTAGTGTGCAGACGCGCGGCGGGATTGCTTTGTGAAGGGCGAATGAAGTGGCCGGACGGGGCCAGGGGGCGGGCAAGGGGCGCCAGGGGACCTCTGATTGGTCACAAGCGAGTGGTACCCGGAGGCTTGTGTTTGGTCTCGATTAAGCGTTGCTCACCCAGCGAGGTTTGTTTTTCAGTTAGACAAGAGTCCCTTAGCCAGCGGACAGCTGGTCAGGACCGTTTTTCACCGTCCGTGGGGTGTTTCTCCAAGCGGAGGACAGGAAGCGCTAAGGGTTCCTCCTGCAGCAGCGTGTGCGTGGGACCTGCGGGAAGGGCGGACCTCTAGGATAGAGTGGAAGATGCGAGCAGGGAATAGCACATTTGAATCTTGGGATTCCTATCTGGGTTTTGAGGTGTGTTTTTCCCCGTAGGGTAAGTGACGAGGGAGCCTGCTGACGCATTATGGTCTCCCTACAGAGTGATTGGCACCGTGCTATAGATTCCTACTCTTGGGAGGATGCTATGGAAACAAAAAGGAGCCTCGCTTCGCTCTCCGTTAATCCTCAGAGCACGCCTCTTCCCGGCCCGACCCGCGCACCCTTTAAAACGTCTGAATGGACCAGTTTGAATGAGCCACCCCGGGCCTCAAAACATATCTAGGCATGAGAGGAGGGAGGATTTGCGCTACCAGAGAATAAACTGCTTGTCAACTGTACACTAAAGAAATTAAGGCAATATCCGGATGGATAAACATACCGATGGAATAGAATAGAGAACCAAGATATAGCCCCACCTTTATGGACAGTAGTCAATAACAAAGGCGTTATAAAAAGAAAATGTAAGTAATAATAAAACTTGGCACAACAGAGTACGGGAAAGGACCTACTTTACATCGAATCATTGTGTATGTATGGGAAAATATGAAATCGGATTCTTTCCTAATTTAAACCAAGCACAGCAGAAATCCCATGTGAATTGTTGACCTGAAAGGGAAGAAAGCAGTGAAGCTTCGGGTGACAACATAAGGGAATACTTGCATCTCCTAGTTCATTAATTAAAGACACAAGAGTGTTAGGCTTAATAAGATGAGTGTGCTACTCTGTGTTCTTATCAAAAGATACCAATAAGAAAGAGAATACGTCTGGATGTGTTGCTCAGTGGTAAAGTGTGAAAGGCACTCAATGACCTGGCATAATAAGAGAAAAAGGGTAAGCCACAGAATAGGGATTTGCATGTGTAATGCATAAATGATAAGTCTAAATAAATATAATAAATTCTAAAACCTGTAAGAAAACTGCCCGCAGTAAAACAGCAAAGCCATGGGCTAGGGAGATAGCTCAGTCAGCAAAGTGCTTGCATGCAACGATGAGGGCCTGAGTTCCATCCCCAGAACCCATGTCAAAAGCTGGGCACCTATTTATAGTCCCCATGCTGGGGAAGCAGTGACAGGAGGGCTTCTGGGGCTCACTGGCCCCAGAAAGAGAACCTGTCTTTTTTGTTTGTTTGTTTGTTTTCGAGACAGGGTTTCTCTGTGTAGTTTTGGAGCCTATCCTGACACTTGCTCTGTAGACCAGGCTGGCCTCAAACTCACAGAGATCTGCCTACCTCGCCAGTGCTGGGATTAAAGGTGGTGCCACCAATGCCCATCTGAGAACCTGTCTTAAAAAAAAAAAAGCAAGCGAGAGCTGCCTGAGGAATCACACCTGAGACTGACCTCTGGCTTCCACATGCACACAGTTTTAGACAGCAAAATCAAGAGGAAAATCGCCTTGAGTAGGCACCTTGCTTTGGAAACCCAAGACAATCATTCTGTATCAGAAGATGTGACAGATCATTAAAGAGCTCTTGGTGACAATGCTGGTCTGCACAGTGAGTTCCAGTACAGCTAGGGATATGTAGGAAGACCCCGTCTTAAAATAGGTAAATAATTTCAAAAAGACTTTGTCTAAAACAAAAACCTATCCAGCAATAGAATTTTGCTTTTACTAGACATGAGGATGCATTTATAAGACCAATTCACATCTAGGTGTCATGCAAAGACCTGTATAAATCCATCCTCCCTCCATTGGCTGGATATATCTGGGTCATCAAGTTGAAAGTTCTAAACCTCTTCGGTAAAAGAATAACAGTGGTGCCTTTTGCCTGTCAGTATTTTGAGAATTCGAAAAACAAAAAAAGCCCTAGCTAGGTGTATTGTTACAGGCCTATAATCCCAGCACTTGGTAGGAATTGCTTGATCAGAAATTCAAGGTCATCCTCAGCTACACAGCAAGGTCGAGGATTGGCTGGTCTACATGAGATTCTGTTGGAGAAAGAAAGACACCAGTGAGATGACTCATGAGCGAAGTCACGCCACACAAGCCTGGTGACCTGAATTCTACCTCGGAGCTTGTATAAAGAGGAAGGAGAGAACTGACTTGCAGAGGTTATCCTCTGACTTCCACACACACACCTCGACACACATGCAAGTGATCAGGAACACACAGACACACATAGTGTGTGAGAGAGGGAGAAGCACTTTGTCTCTGTCTGGATTCATCTGCTGTGTTCAATAATGCTAACTTCTAAAAAGACAACCAGGATAAAGTTCCAGAAGTTCAAATACTGGAAAGAAGAAACACTAATGCAGGGGGAAAAACTTAGAGAGCACAGACAGCTAGTTAATGCATTTGCATATGCATTTCTAGTCTGGATTGCGACAGAGGGAGAGAATGAGAACTTATGGGTGGAAGTTGGGGGCAATTAGGAAGAACATTCTAACAATTGGTGCTGTCCATTGACGGAACAGGCTCGAGTGATGGAGCTTCGGGTGCCTGGAGATCATCTGGGGAACTCAGAGACCTCTCTCTGTCTGCTGTGGTGTCAGAAGTTTTGCACTCAGGAGGAGATGGAACTACGCACAGTTAGGTCTTCTTGGCTTCCATCCCAAGTGAATCCTCCCAGCTCAGAGCTTTGCGGGCCAGGAGCTTTCAAATCTTCTTTTCCAGGGGTCTCCCTCCCACTCTTTTGTTTGTTTATTCATTGGTACTAAGACTGTCAGATAAGATATTTTGCCTCACAGACTAGTACACACACCACTGAAATATAAGTTTAAGAAACAGGATCTGAGTTAGGCGGTGATGACACACGCCTTTAATCCCAGTGTTGAGAGGCAAAGGCTGACAGCTCTCTGTGACTTTGAGGCCAACCTGGTCTATACAAGGAAGCCCTGTGTCAAAAAAACAAAAAAGAAAGAAAAAGAAACATAATCTGTGCTGAAAAGATGGCCCAGTGGTTAAGAGCATCTGTTCCTCTTGCAGAGGATCTGTGTTCCATTCTCAGTGCCCACATCAATGCCCACGTCTGAGCACCTAGGTGCATAAACACACATGGGTACACAGGCAAACATTCATACATAAAGTGAATAAATCTAAAGGGAGAGAGAGATGATCCAGGTGTGATGGTGCATTCCTGCAATTCCAGCCCTCTGTGGGAGGAGGGGCAGTGGGGGCAGGCTATATTGTAATGAATTTAAGGCCAGCCTGGGCTTCCTGTCTGGGTGGGGGGGAGCCAAAGGAAAGATACTTATCCTTAACATGTAAGAATACATTCTGGCCCGGCATTGGTGGTGCACGCCTTTAATCCCAGCACTCGGGATTAAAGAGTGCTTACTGCTATTACAGACAATCTAAGTTCAGTTCCCAGCACCCATATCAGGTGGCTCATAACCACATGGAATTCCAAGGAGCTGATGCCCTCTGGCCCCTAAAGGGCATTTGCATTTATATGGTGCACATAAGCTCATACAAGTAACACACATGAAAAACAAATGAATAAATCTTACAAATAAAACATCTAGAAAATATCAGAATGTATTCTTTTTTGTTGTTGTTTTGTTTTTCGAGACAGGGTTTCTCTGTGTAGCTTTGGAGCCTATCCTGGCACTCGCTCTGTAGCCCAGCCTGGCCTCGAACTCACAGAGATCCGCCTGCCTCTGCCTCCCAGGTGCTGGGATTAAAGGCATGCGCCACCACTGCCTGGCAAAATGTATGTTATTTTTTAAAAGTTGGTTTCAACTAGCATTCCCTATCATCCTTCTGTTCTTTTTCTAGCTCTAGTTCTCTGATTCCATCTTCCTCTCTCCTAACCCCTGTAGCTTTCAGGGAAACCTCTCTTTTCTCATAGAGTCTGAGAAGTCCCTTCTCATGGTTTTCTTCCCAAGAAGAGACAGATTGACTCTATTTTTCTAGAAGGTACAGCCGAATGAGACCTTCTGGAGCATGGTGTCCCAGTCTGAGTCACCAGCAGAGGGCAGCACCCTGGCACCAGCAAAGTTGCTTTTGGAGTCTCTTTTTCCAAGGCTGTCCCTTCCTTGTCTTGGTTTCCATTCACAGATAAGATAATATATGTGCAACACTTACCACATTGCCTGGCACACAGTAAGCCTGTGGACTGCCGAACACAGACTCCTTTCACACATGTTGGCCAGCACTCTCTAAGGTCAATGAGACAAAGCTAGCCATGACTCCTGCCCTCAAGGAGTCTGAAATCCTTAAAAGAAAAAAACAAAACCTCAAAACACAATTTAACTGGAGCTGGAGAAACATTCATTAAGAGAGCTTGCTGCTCTTGCAGAGAACCCAGGTTCCATTCCCAGCTCCCACAGGGAAACTAACGACCATCTGTAGCTCCAGTTCCAGAGGGCCCCACACCTTCTTTTGCTTCACATGTAAAATTCAAAATAAAACACCATTGCATCACTATTATATGGGAGCATGATGTGTGCATATGACTGTGGACACGTATGTGCAAGGAAGGAGTGTTTTCAGGGGTCAGTTCTCTTCCCTTCCACTGTGAGTTTTGGGGACTGAACTTGGGTAACCAGGCCTGGGCAGCAGCACTTGAACCTACTGAGTCATCACACCAGCCAAGATGGAAATTTTGATAGAAATATTAAAATTGAACCCCTAACCCTGACCCCTTGAAGGCCGAGGCAGGAGG